CACTGCTGCATCTGGGTGTATCTCACGTGTGATGGGTTAAATGCAGAGAACTAATTTCATCATTGTATAGGAACAAACAATGATGACGACACATAGCACTTTACTTTATTACTTTAAATGTTATGGGTTTGGAACAATTATATTTTCATACTACATGTTTTTGTAATGTTTAAAAAATCTAACATTGGTTCCTCCAGCACTTGCCAATCATTTTTAATAAAATCTCAGCCTCTATTGTTCACACACAAACATTTTCAGGTCATTTAAACCAGAACAAGTTTACTTGGATTAAATGTCACACCTTGTGTCACATTGAACAAGCGGAGAGGAAGGTTAAAGAGGATGAAAAGGGCTATAGAGAAAAGAGTGATGCATAGGGAGATGACAACATTAAGAGAAAGATGTAGAAAGATGGGAGGATAGTAAGAAAATGCAGGTAATGAGGGAGTGAATGGGTGGGAGGTTTAGATAAATGAGGAGAGATGGGGAAACATTGGTAGAAAGGGAATGAAGGCATGGCAAAGGTATGATGAAGAGGCAGGAGGCAATGAGTGGGTGGCATGTAACTATAAAGCCGAGCAAAAAAATCCGGCGAGGTGTCTGTTTTACAGGGAAGAGGTTAAAAGTTAGATGTGGTGCACAGACTGAATGTGACTTGCTTCAGCTTTTCTTGTAGTTGTTAGTTTCATGAAATGTGTTGATGGTATATACAAAATAAAAAGGGCAGTAAAATGCAGCTATCTGTTGCTATCAGTGACATGCAGGCACACTGGAGACACAGCTCAGGTCATTTAGAAGGTACCCTGCTATCACTCTAATTATCATTTACTTATATCTTGGCTAAGGCTCACATATACTCTTAACAGCTGGCTCTCTGCCACATGCGCTACTTTTAAGATGGCTGACCAAGCCTGACACACACACACACACACACATACACACACACACACACACACACATACATACATACATACATACATACATACATACATACATACATACATACATACATACATACATACATACATACATACATACATACATACATATATATATATATATATATATATATAT